GAGGCTTTTGAACTGCGATATATGGGATTGACCACTTGTGGTCACGTGGTGCTCTTACCTCGTGGTTCGGATAAATTTTCGAAACGACCGCGTTCTTGGCTGTGTTCACCGACGACTATAATAAAACGTGTTTTTATTCAATTCGTTCGCGCGTTTTTAAATTGGAAGAATCGAATACGCCGAGCTTTTAAAGTTTTTTTCTAATTGTCGAGTCCGCAAAGCATTTTCATCATTCTTAGAGCGATCGTTCCGGAAGTTTCAACTCGCCTCATCGATGCGAGGCACGGCCGAGGGTACTCGATATTTATCGCGAATGCTCCTCGTAATAGCGAACCGATAATTGCACGAATGACTATCGTACTCGAGGCACGAACGCTTCGGTGCATTTACGCGTTTAATCTTTTTTAACTTTCGTGAAAAAATTTTTTTTTGAAATACTCATAATTTTTTCTTTAAGAAACTTATTATACTTAAGTTTTCTAAGTGTTTATTAAATTATTAAAAAATTAATTACAATTTTTTACATACCTAGTATATATTATTTAAAATTAAATATAATAGTCGATATAAAAAAAATATAATTTACATAACTTGTCATTATTTTAAAAATTTGATTTTCTGATAGATTCCTTGTTTCTATTATTAGACGCAGAAAAAAGAATTCAGCGTGTTGTTAAGCGTGAATAATTTACAATGGTCGTGTTTGGCGGGAATCACAAATTTAAACAATGTCAGCCAAAATTGGCGCGTTTCGTAACGCATACACGCGCATAATGTCCTCATCATCGTTTCTCATTTACGTAATCGTCCGAAACGGCGATTATACGGGCAGGATGGGTTTCACAGCTTCCAAGTAGTAAGATAGGGAATGCACGGCCGCCGTTATGCGTGCATCCTGCAAACCGACGGTCGGCAACCCGCAAAGGAGTTGTTCCTCCCTTCCGATACTATCTAACGACGATAATGGGATAACGAGAGTCACGATAATTAACCGAGAACAGTGGTACTCATTGAATCAATCAACTCTGTCCATTATTATTAACTCGACATGGGACATTTGCTTTATCGTCCTCTCTTTGTCTCTCATCTCTTTCTCTCTTTCTCCTACGTGCCTTTTCAAGTTTAATGTTGCGCTCTCATTTCTTATTTGTTCTTTTTTGGACTTTTGGGGATTACAGGTGAATTTAGTCACGGCCAGTAAACTATCCGTGTTAGGAAATTTATGACCCGTGGAAAATTACTCTGGTGTTTCTTCGGCAAGAGTTATCGCTCTCCTGTTAACATTTATGGCACACGGTTGGTGTTGCCTCTATTGCGAGTCTTAATTCATCTATTCCCGTGGTATCAGTTTTGTTTCAAAATTTTCAACGATAATATATCAGTGTTGAAATAACTAAAATAAAATAAAGTTTTTTATACATTTCCAAATTTTTCAGAATTTGTGATGATTCGGAATTATTATTATTATCTCATTTATTTACCTATTTTATCCTGATTTTTTTAAAATTACGACTTACTTTTAATTATTTTTTAATTATACGTACTGAACTTTTGCACGTAAGTTTATAAAGTTTTACACGTTATTTTAAATAAAACCAGCGAGAATAATTCGTAATATAGGTGGTCGCAATTTACTTTATGAATTTTTAGGTTAAGAAGTATATTACGTTAAAAATTTAAAACGCTTTTGTTTTCTTTCTGGTTATATTTAAAAAAAGAGAATAAATGAACTTAATAGTTATACGTACTTACTCGAAATTCTCCCATAATAATGAAACAAGTCTTTCATTTTCCAATTTCTGATTCTCACCGATCAACGATCATTTCTCCTCGTTTGTCTATCGGATTGTTCGAAATCGATCCGATTACATCAAGCTTCGATAAAAACATCGTTTACGTAATCGATGGCGACAGCACGTATTTTTATAATCGGATGCTTCGTAAGGCAATACCGTCATATTAATTTCAATAGAGAATATTGCGTTTCCTTGGTATATTGCATTCCAGATAACCTGACGCCATCTTTCTTCCACTGTTCTTCTATGCGCCATACTCACTTTCGGCAACTAGTCGTTAAAAAGACGCATCGTTGCGAGGTAAAAAGTCGTTGGACGCGTGACCTAGTTGTTCTTAGATTCGTAAAAACGTTTTCTTTGGGTTGAAACAGAGAGAAAAAGAGGAAGAGATCGCGAGCGAAAGGAAAGGTAACGGGATCGCGAAAAATGCGCTAAAAAATGACTAAAGCGTCCTGCTTCGAGCGCTTTGCGAGTTACTGAGAGAATCGGTTACGGTCGTTGATCTTCGCAATTTTTCGGTTCCGTCCGTAAACTGATGACTGCGCAGGCGCTTGACTCTCCAGTTTACAAGTGGTATAGGTCCAGAGATACAACTCTAATTTTTTAATAAAATTTTACAATATTGAAAAATTGAAGTTAATAGCTAAAAATATCAATTTTTTTTTCTTCTTGAACGCTGATCATTAATCCTCACATTCACATTGACAGTTATCGAAGAGATCAATTGTAGGAAGAATATAATGTGAAATATTATTTGGTGCATTCGACTCGCATTTAATTGTAAGAATTCTAGTGAAGATTTCAAAAGTCTTGTTAATTAATCAACGATACTTTGAAGGCAGAAAGACGATCAACGGATTGATAATTAAATCAGTTTTTGAACTCTACGAGTAAATTAGATTCGTTAGAGTAACTTATAAAGTGATACATACTTAGTAATTACTTATCTAAACACCGATTGGTTGGTGGAGGTTATGTCAATATAGTTCCATGCAAGGTATGTCACATTTACTAGTTTTCTAAATTACACTTTTTATTAAATCTTCTTATCTTTCGTGTGAACTTTATCACGGAACAATATTCGAATAATAAAAATTATTAAATAGATCAAGATTTCTTCGGCTCGAAGAAAATTGTTTTCCACGATCAGATCGAGAAAATACCTGACAGGATATAAATTTCGGCCCTGTCTGGTGAAATCTCGCAAAGTTCCAAGGGTTCGAGATGTCGTGGTCAGCGAGACGAGAAATTGGAGAGGCGAGTGACGCGATTTAACGGCATTCTTTCGCGGTAGGAACGAGGCACGAGTCACGTAATATAGTAGTCGGGGATAAATGGACGGGTAAGATCGGTTTCTCGTAATCAAGGTAACGCGATACCATTTGCCAACCGATATTATCCTGGCGCCTGCATAGCGTCTCGTCTACAAACTCGCCTATAGTCTTGGATCCTTTCGCTTTGCTCTCGTTTGCATTGCGGCTCGTTACCTCGAACGCGTTCTCTTTCGATCGAAAAGAGAATCTATCTCTTTCTATCATTTACCATTAAAATTTACTATTTCAGTTAGTATTTAATTTCTACACGTTAACAGGTTAAACGCGATATCGAGTAGAAGATGCCCCTAAGAGAATTGTAACAAAATTCACTTCTGAATATTTATATATATATATATATATACATATATCAGTAAGAAAATAATTGAAAGAATTTTCTTAAGAAGGGGGGAGGGGGAGGGGGCAAGTATTTGTAAATGAATTTTAACAATCGAAAGACGCAAGAATCGGTTCGATTTTGAATTTCAGGCGGTGATAAGCGGCGTTACGCGGGGGAAGGAGAATGGAGGCGGAGGAGGGGGTTGGCGATGATAATAAGAACCGGTCGAAAACAGAGGCGGCAAATGGCAATAGCAGGGAGCAACAACTGCGGATTCTCTCGGTCGACAAGGTTACGGTGGAGAAGATCGTGTTGGAATCGTCGAGCGGCTCGCGGGAGGTGCTGTTGACGAAAAACGAGAGTTCAAAGAAACTTTCGATAAAATCGGAGCTCGAAAAGCCGGTTCTCAGGCGTGGCTCCAAAGACAGGCGCAACGAGGACAAGTATCGCGCTTCCCTCCCCGACGATATTACCTCGTTCGATCCCTGCTCCCAGTCGAGAGAGGGGGCGAAAAAGTCGCGAAAGGAGGGGGAGAGGATCAAACCGATCAAATTGACCAAGAGCCCGTCCATAGGCAGCTTGACGATCGCCATTCCTCTGGAAAAAGGAACAAAGCGGAGGGAAAAGGCGACGACGGGTGTTAAGACAGCCGACGAGGATAAAGAGAATAAATCTGGCGAGGTGGAAGAAGGGGCTGGGGGCGAGATCGAGAAGATCAACGCGAAAAATCTGTTGGAGAGGAGTCAGACGAACATCGAGGTGCTGCAGCAGAACCTGAACACCAAGATCGGCGCGAACACGGCGCGCAGGTACAAGAAAAAGTTGCTCGAGTCTCGGGAGAATCCGAAGTCGGCCCTCGTCGCGGCCTCGTCGAAGTTGGCGTTCGACGAGGAGTTTCTTCAGAAGCACAATCTCGACAAGAGATTGAAGATCGAGGAATACGATTTGCGGGGATCGGCGGGGATCGACGAGGAGGAGGCGAAGGGGAGGCCGAGCTACAGAAGCGAGAAAGTGTTGGAGGTGGAGAAAAGGTGGTCAGGGGAGTTTCTGAGGAATCAATTGGACCGCCATTCCTCCGAATCGTCCAAGTCCTCCTACGTGGGTGAATACGGAAGCGTCTCCTCCGGGGAGAGCATCGGCGACGAATACGATCCTGCAACGTCCCTTTTCGGCGAGGAGAAGGGAAAATTCGAGGGTGGACGGCCGATCAATTTGAGAACCTCCGAGAAAACCCTCGCCGCCAGCACGCTGAGCACCCTCGACTCCGACTCGTGCCTCGAGGACAGGATCAAGTCGCTCGAGGAGGACATCGAGGAGGCGAAGGAGAAGGACGATGGAGGAAACGACAGAGGTCAGCTAGCGCACGACTCGGCCGTCGATCTTTGGCAACGATCCGCGCATCACCTCCTCCTCCTCCCTTCGACCAACGATTCCTCGAGTCGAAAGGGATCGAGGATCGAGGAGGTCGATAATAAAAATCCCTTCGATTCGTCGGAAGCTGCGAGTGGCGGGAGAGTGGACGGGTACGCGAGCCTCGTAAAAAGGTTCGCCATGGAGGCGGGTTCGTCGAAGAAGGAGGAGAAGCAGAGGAAGAAGCTCGGGTTCCGCCGCCTTTTGCCCGGCTTCTTCTCGCCCAAGGACTCGCGGAAGGATTACAAGAAGAAGGAGTCGAAGGAGAGGAAGAGGCCCGACGAGAGACACTTCGCCCGCTACCAGCAGAACGGCAACTACACGCGTTCCCCCGACACGATGAATCTGAACGAGGACATAAAGAGGAACGTGAAGCTGGACAACAGCCTGAACGGGTCCATAATCGAGGAGAGGTTGGACGAGATCAAGCGGGAGTTGTTCCCGGACCAAGGCCCTATAACGAGCACCCCCGACCACCTGGCGCGCGACCACGAGGAGGAGGATCGCGAGGGCCTTTTGCGCGATCGAGGCGGCCAGCCCCGTTCCTACACCACCGACTCGAGCCTCAGCTCGATCGCCCCCGACGAGAGGTGGAACGGCCAGCTCGGCATATCACCGGACATAAGGAAATTCGAGCAGAGGCAGAGGCGGGAGGAGTTTGGGCAGAGGTACGGGCAGCTTGAGCGGAAGCACAGTTTGCAGGAGGCGAGCAGGCAGCAGCCCAACATTTTCCAGAGGAATCACGGACCCTCGGGCAGGATCTCGGCTCCGCCGGCCGAGAGATACCTGGTCCGGCCGAGGGCGATCCACCCGATCGACCGCCCCCTGCCGGCGATACCTCGCTCCAGGACCAGCTACGAGAACTATTTGGAGGGCGAAAGGAGGGGTAGCGAGAAGCCGGGGGGAGCGAGGCGTATCCGGACGAGAGGGTGTTGTACGAGAACGAGTCGGGTTTGATCCTGAAATCGGTCTCTGCCCAGGTGAAGATCACCCGGCAACCGATAGTCAATCAAAATCACCGTGCCCCGTTGGTGGGCAGGTCGCCCAAGTACCTTTCCTCGGGCTCGAGCCAGAAGTCGGGCGATTACGGCGGCGAATCGAGCTGCACCCCCAACTCGAGCCAGAAGAGCGAGTTCTCGCCCACCAGCTCGAAGAGCGGCGAGTACTACCTCCACTCGCCCCGCAACAGCGGATCGCCGAACGAGCGGCCCGACTACGACGAGGAAGAAGAAGAGCCTCGAAGAGAGGAGGAGGTTATCTACGAGAACGAGAAGTCACCGGAGGCCGGAGGATTGGTGGACGAGCGTATCTACGACGAGACACCCGCCTCGATCCTCGAGGATCGAGACAAGAGGGTCCCCTCGTCGTCCCCGCGCAGGAGTCGTTCCAGGGAGGAGAACGGGGAGGGGCCCTCCTCGCCGACCGGGAAACCGATCTCCCCGTTCGGGTCGCGGCAACGGTTGCCGAGAAGAGCGCAGCCCAACGAGCAGATTCTGATAGCGTCCCCGAAGAGGGACGCCCCGTACGAGACCCGAATACCGAGGCCGTGCAACGAGTCGAGGCGAGGCTGCGTCGAGTCGCCCGTTCACATGACGAGCACGCCTCGAAAACTCGCCAATTCGATCGAACCGGATTCGGCACGGAGCGACGCCTCGAAAGGATCCCCGCCGGGACAACAGGCTCGGTTGGAGGCGATACCGCGCCCCGAGCCTGTCTACGCGCATCGTGGTCATCGGAACCCGGAAATAGCATCTCCACCAAGTCTCGAGAAAAAGATGAAGGCGGGGAACAACGTGCAGAGATGCAAAGATGGGGAGGAGAGAGTGGCTTGGGTCCAGGCATCCTCGTCCTCGCCGCAGAGAACGAGCGGCGAGACGGTTGTTGACTCGCAGAAGATCGTTGACAGGTCGATCTCCAGCTACGAGGATCGTCGTCAGAATCCTGTGATCCCGGCCTCGCAGGTGGAAGCTCGGTCATCGAATCGAAATCCGGAGGAGCAACGGATCCCTCAGCAACAAGATCAGAGGCAGGGAGGTTCGGAGGATTCGCAGAGGATCTGCGAAGCGATGTGCGGGCAACGAACGATAGGGCCCCTATCACCCTCGAAACAAGAGACGCGACAGCATCTGGAGGCCTTCTACTGGCAGCAAAAGGCGCTCGAGGCGCACCGAAAGTCCCTCGCGTCCCCGGTGAGCGAGAACTCGAAACAGATGGGGCGAAAAATTGATTTACCGGAGGTGAGGGAGGCGGTGTATTGGCAACAGCTCAAGAAGCTGGACGAGGAGCAACAGAGGCGTATTTACGAGCAAAATCTAATCGAGGAGTCGTCGTACTGCAAGCCGAGGAGGGTATCTCAGGGTAGACAGGGATCTATCCGAGGCCTTCCGTTGTTGGCCGCCCACGGAAATCCATCCTCGTGGAGTGGCAATCTACGCAACTCGAAGGGGAATCCCGCCGGGAAACCGCCGCTGATGCAGAGTCAGAAAGGTCAGAACCAGCCGGTTCTCATCGTCCGGCCGCAACAGGCGATCCGTGATCGGCGGGACATGGTCCCCGCCGCCAAGCCCCTCGAGCCGGGGGCGGTGCACAGGTCGAAAAGCGCGTCGCCGCATCTCCACAGAGGGGAGGGGCAGCCGGTTCCGCGGAAACTCGAGGTCTCCTCGATCTACGAGGAGGAGGCGAGCAACGATGCCGATGGAAAAACCGCCACCCGCCTCCCCCGATATTTAAAAGAGGTAGCTTGATCGGCGGTGAATCGGTGGAATACGGAAGTGGCAGCAGCGCGAAGAGAGTCAGCTTCTCGAATCAGTCGGGTGTCGGTGGCCAGGACTTGGCAAGTGGAAGTTGGCCAACGAAACACGGCACTGCCCCGGAACCGCCGACTCGAAGGCATCGAAGCGAGGACAGCGTGTCCGACACGGACTCGGTGTTTTCCTATCCGGATCGCCGCGATCCTTCCACGCATTGTGCGGATGGGACCGAGTACGATGCAGACAGGCCTCTTCCGCCTCTGCCCAAGGATGCCATCTCGGTAAACGCTGTGAGATTTGGAAGAAGCGTTGCGTACGGAGATACGCGTTACAACGTCGGAACGGATCCTCGACGTGCCATCAGCCCGCAGCGAGCGCTTCGACAGAAGGGTGAGACACTTTTTCTATTTTTTTCCTTTTCAGAGAGTACAATTCGATTTGTCGCGAGATTATTTGAATTTTGATCCGTGTAATTCTTAGAACATAGTGGAGGCACAGTTGAGGATCATAGTTACGCACGAGCCATCTTCCTTGTTTCTTCCTCTCGAACAGGCCGCGACAGGTCGTGACATCATTTACGACGCCGTAAATTATTTCACCGATCATCAATTCCTTTGCATCTCTTTATGGCAATTTCGTGCCAAATCAACTGCGTTTCAGTCGGGTCGTGATTTTATTCGGACAAGGTGCAAAGCGCGTGGCGCGGCGTATGACCGTGCATTTCAATGAGCCTCTTGAGGCAGACCGAGAGCCAACATCGTGTAAAGGCACGTTCTCGTCCACGACAAGCAAATCTCACTCACATATGTTTTAAGCCCCTATCGACATTGTTTTACTGTCCGCCATGTTTCAATATGCGAGTTTTCTCTTTCTTCCTAAACGAAATTTCGAAATCCGGTTGTATCCGGATTTGACCGCTTAGTCTAGCTACCCCCACCACTTCTTCACTCGAGGCAAATTTCGAATTTTGTAATCTGCATCAACGATGATTTAAGACGGAAGCACAATTTTGTTAGGGTTCGAAATAAATTGCTTTCAGTTTTTAGTTTGCTTCGTTTAATATTCTGTAAAATTTTCATTGGAAAAAATTTATTTACATTAATGTTAAAAACGGATAATTATTCCCTATCTTGCTTTATCTCTTTTCTCTCGCTCTTGTTATTTCTCATTCTCGTTCACGGATGCGCGAATATTTTAATCTTTCTCGACCGTAAAATATTCGCAAATTTATCGTGCAATTTTTAATCTTTTTTATATTATATAAACACACGTAAACTAATAATACGAACAAATATATCGTTTTATATTTGATCTGACGAAAGAGTGTATATAAATTGTATTTAAATTGATTTATAAAAAAGAATAATGCGTAACCTTTTTTTCAACTACCACACAAATATATGACAATCGTTTACAGCTGCGACTGTGCAACGGTTTTTCCATTACGCGCTTGTCACAGAAAGAATCACGATCTTTTAATTTCCTATAGCCTGTCGATCATTACGAAGCTTGAATCGTAGCTCGCAATTAACGAGAAAGCACATTTGTCTCGCAATTTACACGACGCGTCAATTCGATCGACAAAATCGCGTTTGTTCTCGTGATTGGAACGTCTTTTGTGGATTATCTGTTTTCCATAACTCTTTTCCCCGTTTTTCTGATTCGCGAATTTCTTTCGCGGAATTCGATAAGAGGAAATATTTCGCGGAAATACAAGAACCCTTTGAAACGTTTTCCACGATACCGAATTTATTCATAAGTGGATTTGGCACTCTTGGAAATCGTAGGTTATCACGAAACTTTGCACGAGAATTTTCGTTCGACGGTGTTGGAAACTTCGAGATACATTCTCATCTTTTCTTCCCGATAAGGGAGGACTCATTGAGCAGAGCGCCCAATCTAAGCGATCCGTATTTGAGATCAGAGTCTCGAAGGAAAAGTAAGGGCAACCGAATTGTTTGTCGAGTTTTCGATTAGTCGATACGCCGTTCAATATGTATGCAAATTAGCGAGCCAGGATGCAAATTCGAAATGGCCGATATTCGGAAGTTAGAATCATAGCGACGCCATGCTGAATCGTGTCGCGATGAGAGGCGACGAACCGAGAATATGGAACATATCTTGTTATATGAATCATGATATGTCTACGGTATTATTCGCTCAAAGAATCGTCAAATAATATGATATATTGCTCCAAAGAAATTATTTGAAAAACAGGACAGTCTAATTAATTCTAAATATAATAAGAATATAGATGTTAGTCGAAAATTTGAACGCGACACGATATTTGTTTTTAGTAACACGCTTCTTGTGTTTACACAACAAAACATCGCATGGCTATAAGCGTGGAAACGCTTCCTATCTCGCTCGAATTCTCTGTTTCTCTGTTTCTTTGACGCGCGCATAAGAGCGAACGGTGTCAAATTACATTAGTCAATTCTTGGAAATCCTTTTCGGTTATTCGGCCACTATTCGGCACAATTCGGTATCGGTCGGAACCGATCGTGGCCTTCTACGCGAACATTACCGTATTCCCCTTGCCTCTCAACCGTCCAATAGGACTCCTTTTCAGTAATGCGTGGTACTTTCTCGAACGTAGACGCGTTCCAATTCCGATCGACTCGTTTCCATCGAACGATAACGACGCGTTATTTTTTCGTGCGATGTTCAAAAATCGAATCGAATCGAAGACGTCCTGTCGGTTAAAAGAAGGTTAGTCTACGATTGGTCATTGTCCTGAGAAGTTTTATAGTTAAACTCGCGGGATCAGAAAACGGATCCCCGCGTGTTCGCGAATTCGCAGGAGGTTGGGAGAAACGGTGGGAGGTCGACAGAGGTCGCGAAACGGTCGAATGTTTTCTATCCGGTGAGTAGTAACGTTTGGGAGGATGCGGTGACGAGGTGGGCGTTCGGGATCGATCCCCGACTCCATTCCCGTGACGTCACGGAGCGGGAAGATAGGATGGGGAAGAGAGGGAAGGGAAACGAAGGAAGGAGAGACAAAGCGAGAGGTTTCGCGATAGGGCGGAGCGGGGACAACGTTGGTTAAAAGAGAGGGGTATCGAGGGATGGGTGGAGGGTGCAAGAGGGTGTAATGCCGGGACTCGGGCAGATCCCGGCGACGACGTTCGGCGCGTTTTCGATGGTGGTGCCGCTGCTGTTGGTGCTACCGGCGTTGACGCACCTTGTGAAACGACGCGTAGGATAGCGATCGTCGCGATAGTGGTGGAAGTGGTGGTGGTGGTGGTGGTGGTGGTGGTAGTGGTAGTGTTGGCGGTGGTAGTGGCGGCGGTGCAACGTCGCCGGTATCGATAGTAGTGGTTGTATCTTATTTCCCACGTTCGGCAGCATTTTCGAAGCTCGAAAATCTCTTTTCGAGGGGTTACGATCGATCGCGACCTTCGAAGACGCGTGTTCGCGAAAGGAGGAGAGGCGCGCGACGATACTAGTCGTGATCGTTGGAGGACAAAGTGCAAAAGAATCAACGAATTCGAGGATTCTCGAGGGTGGCGGTGTCGAGCCGGTTACCCGTGACACGACGCTTTAGTCGGTGCTAGTTTCCGTTCGGTTGTTTCGGTACGTCTTTTCCAAATTTACCAAGAAATTTACTTCGCTGATAACCGTCATTCGATCGATTTTGAATGGACCGTTCATATATTTGGATTTCAAGCAAATCTCATTATTGTTGGAACGTTCTGTGTGACATCGAAACCGAAGAAATTGGATTAGTTATTCCAATTAACCGGGTCGTTCAGAATTACGCATAGTTAAGTCGTTGACGCGTGTGGATACGTATGTATATATACATACACATATATACATATATACATATATATATATATATATATATATATATATATAGCTGTAGTGCTCGGTCACGACCTTCACCGTGTAATCAACTTGGAAGCGAAAGGTCGATTCCGATACACATATCAAGGGGATGCTGTAAAATTCATCTAGAAAATAATCTTTTTAAAATATTTTAAATATACTTTACTATTCATTTACGTGTGAAGAAAAAAGTTCTGAAAGTTGATAGTACTTCGATTGTGTTTCCTTTGTCAGAAGAAAGGGTCGATAGATCGAGGCTTTCGAAATGCAGCACCATATTGCTTAAAATACGAAGTGAAGCTATCGATTTCGAACACCAACGGAATCATGAGCAGAATACATTTGATAATATTCCTCGTTTTTTTCTCCTAATTATCTTCTTTTCTTTGCTTCTTTTCTCCTTTTTCTTTCGCGTGATTCTATAATCTTCGACTATATTTTGCCAAAGTTCGCGTTTCATCGGATAAACGGGATAAATACACCTCATCTTCGAGAGCTCATAATATCGACAATTGTTAAGTAAATCATTAAGAAGAAAATCAGTCTCAAGTGATGAAAAGTGTTTGCGCATAATCTCCATCGTCACTCGAAACGAATTAATCCTCGATTCGAGTTTTCTTTGAATTTGAACACGTGGTAGTTGCTTTTCATCCCATCTTTCGCGTCTAATTCCATTCATCGAATATCTCGAATGAGACGCAGGGAAACGCTATTCGCAGAGCCGGCGTTCCTTTGACCCAGTGATCCGATTCGTCTGTAGCGCGCTCGAGTACACCCACCCTCCATGAACGTTGAAACTCACCGTGGCCAAAAGATGGCGACGTCACGGTTATTGTGGCGCTACAACGACTATCACGATAATTTCCGCCGGCATTGCTATCTTCTGGTTTCATAATTCTCGTACAATTCGAACAAACTTGATTCCGAATTCTTTCTCGCAAACTCCTCCTTTTTATCGCTCTTCGCAGAGTTTGCGTAGAATCTTCTCCACGGAAGAATTGTGATCGAACATTAAGGGAGTACTAACCTCAAAGCCGATTTTCCGATCGAAGATCATCGAGAAGCGATCATCGATTCGAAGATTCGAATCGAAAACTCGAATCGAAGTAAACGAAGACGATACTCGTTGCCATCTGTGATGCGCGAGCCGAGGAAACGACGAGATCGCGCAGAAACGTGGAAAACGTTTTACGATCGCGCGAATCGATCGATAGCAATGGCGCGATCGAGCTCGAGCCGCGTTTCGTGAATGCGCGCGCATGCGCGCGCGTAGCCCTTTGAATGACGCGGTCCGATTTACCTTCGAGACGCTGAAGCGTTTGCGAAACATGTTGATGCGTTGGAAGAGCAAGGACAAGAGCTCTAGCAAGAGCTCCTCCGCCGGTCCCAGTCTTGGCAAGAAGAAGCGTAAATTCGGCAGAGAAGGTAAGAATGTGCTTTATCAATTTTTAATTGGATTTCTCCACTCTTCGTTGTTTCACTCTTTATCCATAATGCACGTACTTCTTTTTCTCTTTCTTCCATTTATATCTCCGAACGATTTCCCTCGTGATTTTATT